ACAGTGTGAATAATGTAACAAATCCTGCAACTGGTCTCATGATTCACACGCTGCGAGCATAAAACCTCAGAAGGTGTGCATGACATTTATCTTCCCTTATAAATTGCGCATATTTTCTGAAAGAACCTGGCAGCCACGCAATGAACTCTTGACCTCCTCCAGGTTCCAGAGACCTTCATTTCAATACCTTAACCATATCACACCAATGCTAAATGTACCACCGCCTTATAAAACCAACACCATTCCTCATATCTCATTTTTATTACGGGCACCCAAGTCTTCCCAGAGCCTCTGAATGATTTTGCTCCCCCATTCTGCAACCCCCCACCACTGCCAATTCCCGTGGGTCACCCGGCATGTCTCTCTCATCCCTTTCATTCCAACTGCTGGGCACGGTGTGGACCACTCTTTCCCCCACCCTCTGCCTCTGACAATCGTCTCTTGGGTCACTCCCCAACCTTCAGTGGCTATTCATGAGAACTGATATTAGCAAGAATGGCTACTTCTTTCCTCCTTCCTCTCCTTTCATGGTTTTAAGTGCTAACCACAAAACACAAAGAATTTAAAGAATCTAACACAACACTGGAAAGCAACTATACTCCAAAAAAAATTAATTGAAAAAAAAAAAAAGAAAAATCTGTAGTTATCCTGGAAAGTCTGCACAGACTTTAAGCCTCCTTGGGAGGGAAGAGCCCTTCTTCAAGCCCCTCTGCCCTCGGGACGTGTCCCCCGCCATGAACTGTGGAGTCAGCCATCCTAAGTCTCGTCCTACGACACAGATATCAGCTGCTGAAATGGGGGTCAGTCTAGACCTACACTGTGCACCATGGTGGCCACTGGCTGTGTGTAATCCTGCTCTTCTTCCGGAATCTTTGATACATATTAGGAAAGACATTCCAAAAGCACAGTGGGGTCTTTGGAAGAGGACAATGATAGATTTGAACTCTTCCTTGATTTAGCTATTATCCTCCCTTGGGAAGTTCAGAGCGTCTTGAAGGGGTTATCTAAATTCAAGCCAATTGCAATTAAATAAAATTTAGAGAAATAAATTTCTGAGTCACACTAAGCACAGCTCGTGTGCTCACTACTACACGTGGTGGCAGCTGGGCCATGAACAGCGCAGACACAGCCTGTCGTTCCCACCACCCCGTAGAAAGCGCTAACGCGTGGCCCCGCTCTAGACCCCCAGCACTTGGATGAGGCTTGTTTTTCCATTAATGTAGCCAAGAGATGATTAATAAACTCTTAGAACATGCTGCTGACCTGCAACTATGCCAAGACCTCGTGGTCCTGTGCTCACAGAGTTAGTGGGGGAAGAAAATCCTTATGAACTTTACTCCTTGGAAGTTTATCCCTGAACGCTTTGTACCCACACTAGTCAGACCCTCACCACCAAATGATTGCCAACACCTTCAAGACACTTTGGACTCCCCAAGGGATGATAAGGCCTGAATCAAGGAGGAGTGGAAATCTAGCACTGCCTTCTTCCAAAGACTCCAGTGTGCTTCTGGAAGATGACTTTCCTAATACATAACAAAGATTCAGGAAGAAGAGCAAGATTACAAACCTAGCCTTAGATTTGGAGACCTTGGAAAGCAGAGGACTGAAGCAAAACTCATTTATTCTCTGCCAGAGACTGTGCTAGACACTCGGAATGTGGGGATAAACAAGAGGGAATCCAGACGTGGCTCTCCCACTGGCCCCTGTGACGAAGTCACCTTGGGCCTTTCCTCTGAGGTAGACCTGAGACACTGTGGGCCACAGATTTCATTTCACAATTAGGCCCTCACTGACCTTCAACTCCAGGTGCAGTCCCAAGCCCCGGGACAGAGGGCCTACACCCACCCCCTTCCCTCTAGACCTCATCTAGGTGAGAACGCAGAGAGAAAAATCCTGTTGCAAAAGGGAGCCGGCAACGGCCCATGATCACCCAGCTCCGAATTTTACCTGCAGAGAGAGAGAAACACAGCAAAGAAAACAAAAGAATGGGGAGTCCCCTCTGAGGAATGAAACCAAACTGAGTGACAGCAAAAGGAATCCCACTTGTCCCAGGCTTACTGGAGATACCAGAAATTCTCCCTACTGCCCCCTCGCATCTTCCTGCCTCCCTGGCCTCGTCATCCCAGCCTCCTCTGCAACCCAGGGAAAACCTGGGAATTCCAAAGTGGCTCATCTAGAACTTCTGGACCGACTTCCAGAACACGTGGACCGCGGGGGCGGGGGTGGGGCCGGGGCCACACAGAAGAGAGAATTCTTCCAACAGCAGCACACTGACCCCGTCTCTTCTTCCCTGACCACCGCCCCCAATGCCCCTCTTCCCACCAGACTCACCAGCTACGTGGTGGGCAAGCAGCCCGAGTCAAGAGGAGGTAGAAAGCACAGCCATCTTCCTTGCCCAGGGCGTTTGCCCTTGTAGTGCACAGCTCAGGCTCCTGGAAGCTTTCCCAGGTTCCAAGCAAACATAAGCGAGAGCAACATCACCGCTCCCTCTGCCAAGACTCCCAGAAATCAGTTGGGGGGGCCCCTTCCTTCTCTGTCATCATTTGCCAACTCCAAGGGAGAAGTGAAAGGCCATGGTGTTCAGCCGATTCTCAGTCAGGCCCCGTTTTAGACACAATGCTCAATGAATGTGGACGAGGTTAGGGAATTCACAGCTCCCTCAAGGCTGCTGAATCAGCCACTGCTTTCATTCTTACTGCTCACTGCACTGTATGTTTCATATGGGTTACTTGTTGGCCTTCCCATTTAGATAATAAACCCAGCTGCATCTTCTGCATGGCTTTGCTCTGTAGGAACTGATGGTGGCTGTGATGAATGGATCCTGTGCCTGGAAGAACACTGCGAAGGCCACAGGATGATATATAATACACTGAATAGGTGAACGCAGTCTCACTGCAGTGAGACTTTCTCCCCAGAACAAATCTGAAAAAAAAAAAAAAAATGAGTCTTTGCCATAACGACAAAAGAATTAACTGGAGTCTTTTCTCTGTTCTGGACATCAGAGGCTGTTGACTGCAGCTTCTCTTTCACAATTACTCCCCAAATGCCCCACAAATATCAGGCATGGTGCCTGACCCTTGGACCCAGAGAGGTGCAACTGTGTCACGTTTGAAGGCCCCACTGTAGCTGCTGTGGCTGGTGAAGACTTGCACGTGTGACTTCGTTAAAAATATAACATCTGTTTGTTTAGGCATTTTTCGAAATGTCACCTGAACACCCATGATCAGTAAGATGAAATGCATCACTGATGTTGACATATCTCACGGATAGTGGTCACATCAGACCACTATCCACCAGAATAAAATCTTACTGTGTTTGACCTCAGTTTTAAGGGGTTCCTGGCTCTCCAACACTCCCTGCATTCCCAGATGCGTGTGTCTCATACATGCCTTCGAAGGTGGCATTGCCATCTGATGGAACTTTCAGAGATGATGGGCCTGCTCCTCACCTGTGCCGTCTACCACGGTAGCCACGGCCACACACGGCTGTCAAGCACCTGAATTGTGGCTATGTGACTCAGGAACTAGTCACATTGTAATTAATTTGAATTTAAACAGGCAGATGTGACTCGTAGCTGTGGTACCATAGGAGCCATGGTATTAGCACAGCTGTATGGGTTTAGGTATTTCTAAGGTCTAATGGGTCACACCGTGATGCTCAGGGCAGGGGGCAGAGGTGATAACCACCCCCTCACAGGCCTGTCCAGACAGTGAGACCTTAGAAAGGTATACTTGGGCCAGCCTGCTCCCGATGGGACTCTCCACCTCCCCATTCCCTGAAAGGAGCCATGCTGTCTAGGAAAAGAAATGGCTGTCAGACAACCAGCTTGTCTGAGCATCTTCAGAGAAGACGGTTTTCCCTTAGCCCAGCACTTCTTGGCTTTTCAGTTCTGGTTGCACATCACCAACTCTGCTGATTGCTGGAAGCTGCAGCTGGTGACTCCCCTCTCCCCACCCTCCTGGCCACCCCACCAGTGACAACTCAGGCAGGGGTGGCCTGGCTTCCTTTCTAGTGTTTACTACGGGGAGCAGCCTGCTCAGAGCTCACAGAAGGCTTGCCCCTCGTCCCAGGCAGAGAGCAAGCCAGGCCCTTCCCCAGAGCCAGCAGGGCTGCCTCCTCCAGGAGCCTCGCTCGCTGCCCTCCCCCGTGAGTATCACCTTCCTCCTCCTCCCCACCCAGGGGCGCTGGGTCCTCAGTCGTGTGCTGCAACGATAGCTTCTAAAACACACTCGTTTACTCAGTGGCTGTGAGCACTTGGCCAGAAGCTGCCAGGGAGGCGGAGGTGAATCAGGTGGGTGTCTTACCCAGGCTTCCAGGGTGAGTAATAAGACGGCCTCCCACCCACACGTGTGAGGCTCGGGTTCAAGACAGTCTGTTCAGTGATCTGTTCCTTGAAGGAGGGAGAAGCAAGAGTGGGAGACGGGTGACAAGAAGGTAGACCGGGGCTGGGAGAGTGAAGCCCCGATGAGGTCCCTGGGTCTGAGGGGCTGTCCCAGGGAAAGTGTGTTTTTAGCAGCATTCTCTGTAGCGGCGAAAAACTGGAAACAAGTGAACTCTGCACCAAGAGGTGACTGCTTAAATGAATCATATAGAATCCAGAGAGTGGAACACTTGGCAGCCACTCAATCTGGTGACATAACCTCACACTGAACTGGCATTAAAAGTGGTCCGTGAGAGACGGTTAACTAGACAGCGAGACAGAAAACGCTTTGGGTAGTCTGATTTCCTTTCCTTTACGGGTTATTTGTGTATTGTACGTATGTGGGATTGTGTTAGAATGTCTAAAAGACCGCATCTCAGAAGATTAACACTGACCATCCTAGGAAAGGGGTGTTTGGGGGAGATTTTATTTTCTTCATTATACATGCTTGCTTTGGGGGATTATTTTTTCTTCATTGTGAATATAGTCCTCTACAATCAGATAGAAGTAAAGCTGCTCTATTTTAAGTGACTCCGCACTGATCACTGCTTTGTCCTGTCAACATACTTGTCCTCATCAGCTCCTAGCTGGCTGTGGCTCCCTGGACCCTCTGTGGGCGGCCAGCTGCTGGGTGCGGGGCGGGGATGCGGGGCAGCCACCAGTGGGCGAGGCCTGCTCCTCCCTCCCCTCACCCAACAAACCCAAGTTCACCTGCCATTTCAGCATCTGGCGTCTGACAGCCTATTTTTCGGAGTACCTGTCCATCTGCTCTGAGGCCCCCTCGCATGCCCCTCTCTCACAGCCCCCGAGCCCGGCGCAGTGCCTGCCCCGCGAGGGGCGCGAACCTCACCCAGGCGGGGGCAGCAGACAGGCTGAGGACAGCTGAGTCCCTGCTGTCATGCAACGTGAAAAAGCTGAGCTTCCAAACAAAAACAAAAAGCAAGAGGTGATTCAACTTCCATGTGGCAAGTTGGACAAAGATCAAAGTCAGGACCTGCTTTCCTGACTCACTTTAGTATCGGTATCCAGTTTACTGGGGCTACTATGAGTAACTCTTTGTGGATTCTCATGCTGGGTACCTTGAAGGACAGCAGAGAATAGAAAAATGATAGATATTAGTGGATTCCCGGCTAACCTCTCTAATAGGCACTTTCCACTCTCAGAGACGAGCAGCTCCCTCCTTCTCGGGACCCTGTGCATACTTGCTGCTTTCTGGCACTCACACCTTTGCGGACATCTACGTTTCCCTGACCTGGAGTCACGTTTTCTCCCTTCACTGAATGCCCTCATGCTCTTCAGCCTACACGTGTGCATGCTAAGTTGCTTCTGTCCTGTCTGACTCTTTGCAACCCCATGGACTGCAGCCCACCAGGTACCTCTGTCCACAGAATTCTCCAGGCAAGAATACTGGAGAGGGTTGCCATGCCCTTCTCCAGGGGATCTTCCCGAGCCAGGGATCGAACCTAGTTCTCCTGTGTCTTCTGCATTGGCAGGTGGGTTCTTTACCACTAGCACCACCTGGGAAGCCCTCTTCAGCCTACAAGAGCCAGAAAAATTGTTGCCTTCTCAATGAAGCCCTCCTGGATTTTCCCCAGTGCTGGGGACTTGGCTTCCTTCTCCCAATTCCAAAATCATCTCATAGCATTTCCCATTATTGGTATTTGCAGCCATGACGTATCCACTGTACTTGAATGTGAGCTTCTTGAAGACATGGATCATGTCCTGCACAGTATTTAAGCCAAGAAAGTCCAGGCGCATTGTGTAAATGAGCTGTGGGGTGAAGACTGCTTCCTCATCATTGCAGAGTTCTCTGCATCCCGCTAAGAGCCTTAACACACAGCACTGCACTTGACCCTGGAAACAAGCCTTCAGAGTACGCTGGGCGATCACGTCCATTTTACAGACAAGGAAACTGAGGCTGGGGGAGGGCAGGTCGCTCCATGCTAAGGTCCCAAGGCAGCAAAGGATGGGCCAGGGAGCAGATGGGGGCCGGCGTGCACCCCCATCTCACTCCACCGGAGACTCCACACAAGCAGGCTTTGTAGACGGGGTGGCTCCCGCACCCCAGCGAGGCCTCGTGGAGCGGCGGGGGCCGGGGGGACCTGGGGTGGCACCGAGCCCAGCCCTCATGTTCCCCCAACAGACAGTTGCGAGGTCCCTTGCTTCCAGTGTGTTTTGTCACTTGTGGGTTTTCCCCTTCTCTTTTTCTCTCCTTCTCAGGGGTCAGAAGAAAATGAAAGCAAGTTCTGACACTTCTGCAGTTTGTGGAATAATACAGATGAAAACCATGTGACAAAGGGCAGGAGGAACAGATGGAAAGGCTCGGGCTGGGGTCTTTAGGTACTGGGTCTAGGGAGGAGTATTTTTCATTTTCATTTTCACCCTTGGGCTCTCTCCAAATCTTCTATGAGCCCAAAGCACCTTTATAACAGAAGGAAGATAAACCTTTACAGAGAGCCAGTGTAGGATTCCAAAGTCGCCAATAGTAGCCGCAGTGAATTTACTTGCTAGATTTATTCCTCCAGGGCTAAGTTCCTCCTATGGACAACTTTTGCAAACAGGCGTACAGGACGGAAGAGCACTGGGGCTTTTTTCCTTTTTTTAAGCTGACAAGTTATTTTTATGACAGCCCTTAAAATAAAATGTTGTATACAAAGTAGAATATGTAAATAGGTTACAAAACCTAAAGGAAAAAAATGAAAGTCTCACTTTCCACTGGTCATCCTTGTTTAATCTCCTTCCAGAAAACACTTCAGTACTGACAGCCATCAAGTGTGTAACCTTTTATATATTTTTTAAAAATATCAGGCATCATAATCTTCTACATTTTGCATGTGTATACCTAAAAATCTTGGTGACCTCCTTGTATCAGTGTGACATCTAATTTATTCTATTTATTGGCTACATGCGGTTTATTGAATGAGTGTATCAGAATATTACCTACTGCTGGATACATAGGTTGCTTTTAGTGTTTTTGATTCTGGGGGGCGGGGGGCAGGGAAGCAACATACAGGATCCTTTGTGTTAGTTGCTCAGTCATGTCTGACTCTGTGAGACCACCATGAGCTGTAGCCCACCAGACTCCTTTGTCCATGGGATTCTCCAGGCAAGAATACTGGAGTGGGTAGGCATTCCCTTCTCCAGCGGATCTTCCTGACACAGAAATCGAACCCGGGTCTCCTGCATTGCAGGTGAACTCCTTACCATGAGAGCCACCAGGGAAGCCTGTCCATCCACCCTTCTGTCCGTCCGTGTGAGTCCGTGCTAGGAGGGCGTGTTCCCAGCAGACGAACAGCTGAGTCAGAGCTGCTGTGCTCTGTGCGTTTTGACAGACAGGGTTTAATCCTCCGAAAAGGTCACACAAATGTACACTCCCCACTGCTGTGTGGAGGCCTTGCCCTCAAACTCTCACCAGCATCATTACCATCAATCCTTATTTTCAACCTATAACTAGCTATAACCAAATCCATTCTTTCCTCTTCGTGTGGCTTCCTCCCTTGGGAATTTGTTTTCTCAGCTATTATCTGGTTAATATTTAGTCTTTTTATGCAAGTTAAAAGGAGGCGACATGGGATCGCAAAGAGTCTGGGGCTACATAGATACTAGAAATATATGAAGTGTTTTCTAACAAATGTTTTAGAAACTATCTCCCTATTCCCCAAGATGTATTAAAATTAAATTAGATGAATTGAGATTGTTCCATCTTAACTAGGCAACTTTTTACAAAGATTTGTTTCAGAGCATAAGATAAAAAATCATAAAGTCAGTGGGGCAATATGTAATTTGGGGGGAGATCCTTTGAAACTAAGTAAATTTCTTATCAAATGTTCACCTGCTAATTTCATCATCCATTGGTGATTTTCTAATTACAGTAATCCTCTGTACTTATTAGTTGGCACCATAAGGAGAGCTTAGTTTTCTCATTTATTTTTCTTAACATGGATCCACGGATCCTTATTTAATTGAATGTGCTATAATGACTGCCATCATTATTTAATTTAATGCTCAAATTGCCTGAGATTTGGCTAGTGGAACCCCATCAAGTTGGTGCCTCTGTCCTTTGACGAGTCCTCAATGCCTTTAAACACTTGGCTTTCTCGGTTAGAATCAGTCCCGAATTCATCTTCCAGTTTCCCTGCCCTAACTCTGGAATCAGGCATTTCTCCATGGGGTCTTGGTTCCTTGTTAGGAAGAAAGGTATTTAGAAACAAAGAGCTGGGCACCAGATGGTCATTATACTGTGTGTCCTTGCTTTTAGGTCATCTCAGCAGACAGAGTCAGGAAATATGCTAAAATACGTAACACCTGTGGCGCAGTGGGTAAAGAATCCGCCTGCAATGCAGGAGATGCAGGAGACGTGAGTTCGACTCCTGGGTCAGAACGATCCCCTGAAGGAGGAGGAAATGGCAACCCACTCTAGTATTCATTCTTGCCTGCAGAATCCCATAGACAGAGGAGTTTGGTGGGCTACAGTCCATGGGGTCGCAAAAAAGAGTCGGCCATGACTGAAGTGACTGAACAAAACACATCCACACAAACTTATCTGTATCTATCAATCGATTGACTGATCTATCAAACATCATCTGCTTAATCTCTTCTAACCCTAAAAGCCATGAGTCCATACTGAGCCCTCAATTCCCACCGAACAGCCCCAGGCACTTCAAGGCACTGTGGAGGAGCTACTGCAGGAAGGCTATAAGCAGGAAGTCCTGGGTGTCTTTCCCCCACCTGCTAACGGCCCGATATGACTCTGAAGAGGGACAGAAACGAGGAAGCTTTCATCAGATCTTGCTGTTTTTCTTCTTTACTTTAACCACTTTACTGAGATCAGTACCAGCATTGTAAATGTCTGAAGTACAGAACCCAAGTTCTGACATACGTGTACCCCCATGAGCACTACACTATCCTTTCAGTGAACACACCGCTCACCCCAGGGGCTTCTTGGCCTGCTCTTGTCCCTTCCTGTCCTCTTGCCCTGCCCTTCTCTCTCTCTCCAGGAAATCACTGGTCTGCTTTCTGTCACTATTGATTAGTTCCCATTCCCTAGAACTTTATGTAAGTGGAATCACACAGTATGTAGTTTTTCCGGGTTATTTTGAAATTTATCCAAATTGCTGTATCAGCAGCTGTTCCAAATTCACTGCATGGATATTCCACGGCGACTTATTCACTCTACTTGGAGGACAGTTGAGCTGTCTCCAGTCGTTGGCTATTACAAACAAAGCTGCCATGAACATTCATATAGTAGTCTTTGTATGGATATAAGCCTGCATTTTTCTTAGGCAGATACCACATGATGTGTGTTTAATGGGTTTCCATAGTGGCTATCCCACCTAGGCTATCCCAACTTGGAATAGAGTTGCTTTACGGTGTTTGTTCCTGCCGTACAGCAAGTGGACCAGTTAATACATACGCACCCACCCTTCTTCAGGCTGCCTTTAGGTCACCAAAAGAGCGTGGAGGAGAGTCCCCTGCGCCGTACAGTAGTGCTCACGAGTCCTTACCTATTTTATATAGAGCCGTGTATATACGTCTATCTCAATCCCCCAATTCACATGCTGTGTTTTTAAAACGACTACACTCTTACAAAAGCAGGGAGTCATGAGGCTGTGTTATGAAAACAAGAATAAAAAAAGCCCAAGAGGTTACAGTGGGATGTATGAGGGAGAAATTTCCTTCCAGAAGCCTGGGGTGTGGGCTGAACATGTTTCTCGGAAACACACTCACTGAAGGTGTATAGGAAGAAATGCCCCACTCGGGCACAGACCCCTTCCTTGAAAGGAACCGAGCTCTTGTTTGCTTGGCCACAGAGGGGTGGGTCTTGCAGAGATTCAAAACACACGAAAACAAGAGCGGAGATTTAGCTCAGTTAGTTTGGAGGCTCTCTGCATGAGACAACTATGTTTTCTTCGGTAAAGAAATGTAGGACTTCCTTTTCCTGCTGAAGTCAAGGTACAGAGCAAACAGGCCCTGACTTTGTAAGCCTAGCATGCAGGGAGGTGCTGGGGTGCTGGGCCCTTCCTGGCGAGGGACTCTGATGCGCAGGGGCCACCTCACTCTGGGGTCCTTGCCACCTGCTTACCGAGAGGCCCCTCTGCAGTCAGCTGGAGCAGTCTTTTAAGTCTGCTGTCCTGCCGTCTTCAGGGGACACTTGGTGGATAAAATTGGAGTAGGGGCACCTGATAGAGAAGCTGAGTTATGAGAAAAAGGGTTAAGGTAAAAAGGACATGCTGGGAAGATGTCAAAACTCCCAAGTGCTCTTAGAGGAGAGGTTTCTTTCAACTCTACGTTAACAACCTAGATGACTGTGAAATCTAGACTAGATTTGAAATCTATTTAACTCACCATCAGTATAACATGGATTCTAACTCTAGCTTGGCATTTTTTTTTTTTTTTGTTCGTGAGAACAAACAAATTTAATGCTTTATCTCCATCTCTCGGTACTTGCTACAGTTCGGTCAAAAGCCAGTCCTCGTTCTGATTTTTGCCCTCTCTTTCTAGAAGCAAGTCTGAACCTGAGCCACCATGGTCCCCACAGAAGCCACAGTGAGTATGGCCACACCCTTGGGCTCCTTGAAATACACTGCATTTGGGGGCCTCTTCTCGGGGAGTGGGAAGGGCTCCATTGTGGGGGGAAGGAGTGCTCTGTGGTTTCCCAGGACAAGAGTTCTGCTGAGCGGTGCTCCAGACAGGTGGTCTGTGCCCATCACGGAGGGCTCGGCAGACACGAAGCTCTGGAAGAGCTCTGGGGTCCGTGTGTGGGGGCAGGGGAGAAGGCTGTTTCAGGTTTTACTCATAGGTGAGGGTTTTATGATCTTTACAATGTGCTTAGTCCCATGTGTTTGTTCTGAAACTCAGACAAAAGAGGGCAAAGGAGAATTCATTTGCTTTTAAAAGACCCATGGTGGGCATGTTAGTCGTGTTTCTTAGCAAACATTATATAGTCTTTACAAAAAAGCAAATAATGATGTATTTTTCTCTGAAAGAGTCTAACAGAAATGAGCATAGCTATTATCCAGAGAATCATTCATGTTTTTATAGCCAAATATAATTAATTATAGAATCAAATAAAATTCCTATGCTTTACTTATATAAAATTCTCACAAAAATATCTAAGGATTTTAATTTTGCTTTCTCAAAGGGAGAATCTGGGTTTTACACATAGGTATTGAAGTCAAACATTCTTAGTGGAGTTGACGATTGTCCTTCATACTGTAGGTTCCCCCCCACCTATGGAGAGTGGTGGTTGCCACCACTAATATCAAGTAAGTTATTTATCATATGCTGATGATATTTAGTATTGCATATGTGATCATGTTTCCCATAACAACAATAACAATAACAAAAAGACAATTATTTTGGACCTGCTGAAGTAACAAGGTGCATGTTAAGTCACTTCAGTTGTGCTAGACTCTTTGCAACCCTATGGACTGCAGCCTGCCAGGCTCCTCTGTCCATGGGATTCTCCAGGCTAGGGCCTGGGGTTGCCATGCCCTCCTTTAGGTGATCTTCCTGACCCAGGGATCGACCTAAGTCTCTTATGTCTCCTGCACTGGCAGGCAGGTCCTTTACTAGAGCCACCTGCAAAGCCGAAGTAACAAAACAAGTATTTTTCTGACCAAAATTAGAACCGCAGTTTCTCCTGAGACAGAATCTGCTCTTTATCCCTGATGCTGGAAACAGGGCTGATAACGTCAGTCATTCAGTTTTATCATTTGGGATCTTGGAAAAAATATCCGAAATCTGCAAGGCAGCCCCAGAAAGGAAGAAAAGGCACTCAGATAATGACCTTTTGTGGTCAAGAGGTGTCCGGCGCCACCTACACGGGGACAAGACGGGACCTCCGGGGCTACGACCTTGGTCAACAGCAATGGCTTTCCTGGGGCCACTCTTCGGGGACCGGCCGTGTGCCAGTCACCAGCCCGGGCGCCGTGTTCCTTCGATCTCACAGGAAAGGCGGAGCCAAGCTAGCAGATGAGGATACTGGAGCTGGGAGAAGGGACAGAGGGTTCAAGCTCAAATGGCTCAAAGGAAGAGGAGTGCTGGGGTCTTGGTCCCGGCTTCCCTGGGTTCCTCCCTGAAGGCAAGCGTCCACATGGCTCACTGGCTGAAAGTCTCCCCTCCTCGAAGGTGGGGACTTGCCCACTCCCACCAGTCCGAGTCCCTCCCTGCCTGTCTCCCTCCTCTTCCCTCCCGGCCCCCGTCTCCTCTCTCCAGCTGCGCATCCTGGTATAAGGAGCAGGGAAGGATACGGCCTTGGCCCTCCACAGTGGCCTTTCCAGAGGTGCCTGGAGCTGGGGGAGGGTATCCAGAGACAAGAGTCAGGAGGGAGGCCTCGGAAAGTCGAGGGAAGATGGAGTCCAGGGGCTGCAGAGTCTTCAGTGCCTAGGCCGCAGCTTCTGGGCCAAGGGCTCCCAGGGGGAGGAAGACACACCTGCTCGGGCTCAGGAGCCGGGGCCTGTGGGTGGAGAGCCTGGCAGTGGCACTGGCAGGCAATGCCTGCCCCTTATCTGCTGTGCACTGAGGTTTGCCCCCAGCAAGAGGCAGTTCCCGGCTGCCCTGGGCAGAGGAAGCCACAGGGCATCCTCTGGTGCCCACAGTCTTTCCGGGATGGGCGGGGGGAGGATGCAGGTGGGGGATCTGACAGCCACTCAGCTCAGGTGCTTGGACCCAGACGCTGAGGCTCAGGCTTCGGGTGGCCACTGTGAGCTATGGTTTTTCCGGCAGTCATGTACAGATATGAGCGTTGGACCATAAAGAGGGTTGAGCAACAAAGAACTGATGCTTTCGAATTGTGGCGCTGGAGAAGACTCTTGAGAGAGAGTCCCTTGGACAGCAAGGAGATCAGACTAGTCAATGCTAAAGGAAATCAACCATGATTATTCACTGGAAGGACTGAAGCTGAAGCTCCAATACTTTGGCCACCTGATGCAAAGAGTCAACTCATTAGAAAAGACTCTGATGCTGAGAAAGATTGAGGGCTGGAGGAGAAGAGGGCGGCAGAGGATGAGATGGTTGGATGGCATCACCAACTCAATGGACATGAGTTCGAGAAAACTCTAGGAGACAGTGAAGGACAGCGGAGCCTGGGAAAAGGCAGACATGAATTAGTGACTGAACAACAACAACAAATAACAAACAGCAAATAACAGTGACAACATCAGGAGAGCAAGGTGCCAGGTCTGGAGGGATTACAAGTGCCCCAGCTTGGGGCTGAGGGGCAGGGGGCTGGCTCTGGCCTTGACCATCCCCCAGGGGGTGAGGGTTTGGGCCAGAACCGTCTGTTCCTTGGGTCTGTCTCCTCCTCTATAGTGAAAGTCACTCAGTCCTGTCCAACTCTTTGCAACCCCATGGACTATATAGTCCATGGAATTCTCCAGGCAAAAATACTGGTGTGGGTAGCCTTTCCCTTCTCTAGGGGATCGTCCCAACCCAGGTATCGAACCCAGGTCTCCCGCATTGCAGGTGGATTCTTTACCAGTTGAACCACAAGGGAAGCCCAAGAATACTGGTGTGGGTAGCCTATCCTTCGCCAGCGGATCTTCCCCACCCAGGAATCGAACTCCGGTCTCCTGCATTGCAGGCAGATTCTTTACCAACTGAGCTATCAACGAAGCCCTCCTCTGTAAGATGGTCTCTAACATCTGAAAATCATTCTAAAACCTGTTGAGCCTCTAAAAGCTCCATCCGGGGCAGAAACCAAAGCCTATGTGAGCAGAAGGCAGTGAGTTCCCACGCTGCTGAGTTCCAGGCCAATCCCTGGGCATGCTGTGAGACAGTCTCTTGTTCACTTAGATCTATAAGGCACTTCTCTTCTTGATCAAAATTCTAAAAATTATCTGAATGATATAACTACTCCAATTAAGCAGCCCCCTGGAAATAACAGAGCCATCCCACGATGCTGCCCTGTCTAGGGCACATCTGTGGTGTGGAGTTCAGGGCCCCACATGCAGGCAGACCACCCTCCCCCCGCATTTCATGACAGGCGAGTCAAGGACCTTTCTCATGGTTTGCTCCACTTCTATTACCATCACTGATAAGAACACTGTCCTTTGGAAGTGGTTTCCTTGTCTGGCATGTAGTCTGTGCTGAGTAAATACTTGCTGAATGAGTGAACAAATCACATTATTTGTCGCCAACGAACAAGAAATAAAGAGCTGTTTCTCAAGCTTAAGGTGAGCACGCTGACCTCTTAGTCGGCCAAGGAATAAGATGGCGGGATCTTCACACAAACACCATCCATCGTGGCCAGGTCTGGGCCCACCCACCCCCAAGGATTGCTGCTCCTCAGAGTGGGAGAAGATTCTAGATCTGGCTCAGACCACTGCTCATGGTGGACCACAGGCTGTGAGCAGTGGTCCAGTTGGTGAAGATGTCATGTTTTTAAAAGGGTCTAAGAGCAACACAGTTTGCTAAGAAATGTTTCAAGGGAAACCTTGGGAAAGAGAACTTCTAGACGTTCCAGTAAGAAGAGAATGTGGAAGAGAATGGTCAGCCCCATCAGAGAGAGACTGGGCCCTTGCCAGCAGTAATGATAGCCTGTTTTACTCTGGCCCCATGGCCCCTGTCATGTTCCAAAACAGGCATGAGGCAGTTACAGAGTGCACACAACAGAAGAGAAAGGATATACATTCAAATAGGGTCAGAGCAAATTGACAGAACAGCGAGAAAAGAGGAAGAGTCAGAACTTGGGTTTTCAGCCTGAAACTGACCTGTCCAATGCGGTAGCCACAAGTCACGTAGGGCCTGTAAGCACTTGAAGTGCGGTCACTCCGACTAAGATGTCCCCTGATTGTAAAATGCACTTAGTTCAAAAATAGTCTATGCAACAAAAGGATGTGAAATAGCTTGGTAACTTTTACATGGCTTGAAAGAAAGAAAGTGAAAGTGAAGTCGCTCAGTTGTGTCCAATTCTTTGCAACCTCATGGACTGTAGTCTACCAGGTTCCTCCATCCATGGGATTTTCCAGGCAAGAATACTGGAGTCGGTTGCCATTTCCTTCTCCAGAAGATCTTCCCGACCCAGGGATTGAACCCGTCTCCTGCATTGAAGATAGACACTTTACCATCTGAGCCACCAGGGAAGTCATTGCTTACATAATGAAATAATATTTTAGACATGCTAGGTTTCAATAAAACACATTATTAAGGTGAGATCCACCTATTTCTTTTGACTTCACTTCGCTACTAGAAAATGCAAAATTAAGGAGTTGCCTTATATTCCTATTAGGCAGCACTGGTCAAAGGGTTTTACTTGGTTACTATACTTGGGCTACCAGTTTGACTGAGCTTCCCAATTACAAAGGGAATCCTCATCAGTCACAAAACTCATATGGTTCATGAGTTAAAAAAACTCTCACTTGTCCTTCAGGAAATATGAAAGCCTCGCTTCACATCTCTTTTATAGGTAAGTGCCAAATGCACACCTGAGCTAGGTCTTGAGTGGACACAGCTGGACCGAAAGGCCCTGGAGGCGGGGCGCCCAGCGAGCTCCTCAGAAGCCTCCTGGACACCGTCCCCGGGATAAACAGCGCAGCCTGTGGGAACTCACTCCACCCAGTGCTCAGGCCAGGGGCTCCAGGGCATGCTCAGATCCTTACAGTGCTCTCTCTAGGTCTCATCCTGGCCCAGACCCTGAGAACAGCCTTTGTGCGTGGCTTCTCCAGCAAGAGCAGTGTCTCCAGGCCCAGAGAGCAGAGAGGACCGAAGAAATGGCTTGGCCACCTCAGAATTCCTCCTGGTGGCCAGCTGCCCCTCATCTGGAAGAGGGGCCCACCCCTACCTGGAAGGTCCAGGGTTAAATGCATGTATATCCTGTACTCCACACCAGGTCTGGCATGCACTCGGGGCTCTTACAGCAGGGAAGCAAATAAGCTGGTAAATAACTGACATTTATATTTGCTGGGAGATTTTCAGAGGATCCTGTGCCTGAGATCCAAAGGGTATTTACCCACCACTCATAGGTAGGACTACAAGTCTTGACACAGGTGGACAGGTGTGTCCAGGCTTCCCCTAGCCTAGGACATGAACTTGTCCTCTGTCATTGTCATAAAGATGGCCAGCACTCTGATCATCCGATGATACAGGCTGGCCTTGTGGTCTTGACAAAATTCATTCAATTCCAGGTTTTTGTGTGTGAATTCAATCACTCTGAAAATATGCCTGGAGAGTCCTTAGCTGTATCAAAGGATGTGTGTGTGTGCATGCGTGCTTGTGTGCACAGTGTGAGGGTGTGAGCACAGGTGTCTGAATGTGTGCATGCATGTGTGGGGGTGTGTACATGTGAATATGTACGTGTATTCGTGTAGGCACGCTTGTGTGCACGTGTCCGTAAATGTGAGGGCTTGTGAGGGCTGGCTTCATGGGTGTGTCGCACAGGGCCTCATGCTTAGAAGTGTTACTTGCTTGATTTAAGGCTCTGCTGTCTTGAAATTCCTAACAAATTCTGAATAAGAGATTCTGAAATCACATAGCCAATGCTGGTTTCTATGTGCATGTACGTGAGGGTGTATACGTAAGCGTGTGTGCTCATGTGTGTGCACATGTTAAGTGGGTGCATGTGTGACTGTTGCTGCTCAACAGAGGATCCATAGCTTTCAGAGGACTCGGGAATCTGGACCTAGAGAAGCATGAAAGCCTCTGAGGACCTTTTAGGGAGCGCAGAGTAGACAGGAGAAGGAACAGTCAGACTCGTCCACTGAGTTGGCTAAGTTCGCCCACCAGTGGCCCTGAGACCCTCTCTCCATCCCGATGGAGCACCTGTCATGTGGCCTGTGACTGTTCTTTTGCTTGCATGTCTCTTCCCAGAGGAGGAAAGTTCCACGAGAGTGGGAACCACACCTGACTCTTCAGCACCTGCTTAATAAACATTTGTTGAATAAATAAATCATTTATAATCTAAGCAGATGCTCTCAGAATTCCTACTTCCCACACACACATTTCTTCTGCCTTCTCACAGCCTTTTGGGGTTGGAAGGTCCAGGGGCTCCATGCCTTTGCGATCAGACAGGACCTCCAAAAGCCAGCCCTTGACCCAGGGTCGCCTTGTGTCTCCTTGCAGAGCCTAATCCCTAACCTGTCAGATGACTACGCCTACGATGGCACACCGCTCACGGAGTATGACGGCAACTTCACCGACTACTTCTGTGAGAAAAGCCACGTCAGGGAGTTTGCGGGCCACTTCCTCCCACCACTGTACTGGCTCGTGTTCATCGTGGGGGCCGTGGGCAACAGCCTCGTCATCCTGGTCTACTGGTACTGCACGAGAGTGAAGACCATGACCGACATGTTCCTGCTCAACTTGGCCATCGCTGACCTTCTCTTTCTCGCCACCCTGCCCTTCTGGGCCATTGCCGCCGCTGACCAGTGGAAATTCCAGACCTTCATGTGCAAGGTGGTCAACAGCATGTACAAGATGAACTTCTACAGCTGCGTGCTGCTCATCATGTGCATCAGCGTGGACAGGTACATCGCCATCGCGCAGGCCATGAGGGCGCAGATGTGGAGGCGGAAAAGGCTCCTCTACAGCAAGATGGTCTGCCTCACCGTCTGGGTGGCGGCGGCCGCGCTCTGCCTCCCGGAACTCCTGTACAGCCAAGTGAGGGAGGAGCACGGACTTGCTGTCTGCACCACGGTCTACTCCAGCGACAAGAGCGCCAAACTCAAGTCGGCCGTCTTGACCCTGAAGGTCATCCTGGGCTTCTTCCTCCCCTTCGTGGTCATGGCTTGCTGCTACACCATCATCATCCACACCCTGATCCAGGCCAAGAAGTCTTCCAAGCACAAGGCCCTGAAGGTGACCATCACTGTGCTCACCGTCTTCGTCCTGTCCCAGTTCCCCCACAACTGTGTTCTGCTGGTGCAGACCATCGATGCCTACGCCATGTTCATCTCCAGCTGCGCCCTCTCCATCAAAATTGACATCTGCTTCCAGGTCACTCAGACCGTGGCCTTTTTCCACAGCTGCCTGAACCCTGTTCTCTATGTTTTTGTGGGTGAGAGGTTCCGCCGGGATCTTGTGAAGACCCTGAAGAACCTGGGCTGCATCAGCCAGGCTCAGTGGGTTTCATTCACGAGGAGAGAGGGAAGCCTGAAGCTGTCATCTATGCTGCTGGAGACAACCTCGGGGGCTCTCTCCTTCTGAGGCGGCTTCTCTGAGGTGAGCAGTCCTTCTGGAAGTGTTGAGAAATTCAGACACAGCTTCCCTTACTGACAGGCCAGAGAGAAAGTGGAGAAGGAGAAGGAATGAGAAAAGGGAGGTAGAAAACTCAGAAAGGGATGAATTTGAATAGCATTATTACTTTTAGTCAGGATTTGCCAAGTTGGACTCTTTAAAACTGACTGGCCATCCCAGGAGACTGCTGACTGGCTCCTGGCTGCAAAGCCTGTGGTTTTCAGAGGAGGATTCATGAACGACAGACACCACAGGCCCCCATGGCTTTGCCACTTGCCTGAGCATTAATGCAGCTGTGCCCTGGAGGAGGCGTTTGATTTCTCAGAGCAATGGGAATTGCTGTGGCTTCAGTTCTGACGCAATCTCTTCCAAAAGAAGACACAGAAGCATCGGCCATTGCCACAGTCCATGAATACACAAGGCTTTATGAAAGCTTCTGTCTTTGGAGAATTTCTACTCTGGTTTTGGAGGCTGATACCCATGGCAGGTGTTGCTCTAGAATCCTTCCAAACAATCTCAGATCTAATTCCCTTCTGCTCTCCTTGATCTATTCTGGGCCAGTTGGGTCCTTGTTCCTGTTCTGAAACTATCTGCAGCACTGGTCATTGAGCCTCTGGGCAACTGACCATACCAGCATGTCACCTGAATTCTGCTGGCTTCCAACCCACGTCTTCTGGTGGCTCTGTGATTCCTCACCTGGCTGCCACGCTGATCTGGGCAGATTCAGCTTGTCCCCTGGTGCCATGGAAGTGGTCTTCACAACCCGTGCAGGGAGAGTAAGAACCTGGGTTGGTGGGGACCTGGCTCCATTAGGGCTCACTCTGTTGAGTGGCTGGTATGATGGCCTATTCTATCTGCTCCCTATACAATGGACTGGCCCTATTTGCCCTCTTGTTTCTGAGGCCACTGGAAGGATATCTGCCTCCATGCTTCTCTTTTTCGTATTGTATAATGCTAACTTTTTTTTTTAAAAAGCTTTCAACTTAATGATTAGCCTGAAAAAAAAATGTAATTTATCTTTGTGTCTCTTTACTATTTGGCAAATTTATCACATTAAAAATTTTCAGTCATTAGAAAAGTGCTTTTTAAATGACTGTTTACAAATATCCATTACTTTCCACCTTTTTTTTACCCTGTCTCTATATTTTAAATGTGTATAGAGATCTAACAGCCATATTAGTGTATGAAGAATAAAAGACTTGGATAAGGAAATAACACTTCAAAAATACCATAAAACCATTTTGGTTGTAATTTATAGTTTCTTCTCTGGGCAAACTTATCTTCCAAGTTTCTCCAGGTGAGTCCATTGGCATTCCCAAAGAGGACGATTAGAGCAGGACCATGAACCGTCCCGGCTTTGCCACTTGCTTCAGAGAAGGAATCTCGTTTTCCCAGCGGGCTGTGAACTGCTGTGGTTTCGGTTCCAAGGCTATCCCTTCCAAAGGGGACGTCGAAGCACTGGACTCTGTAACAGCGTCCTTTCCCCGCCCACTTCTAAACTACACATCAGTGAGGAATGAAGTGAGCAGAAAGGGGACAGCAACAAAGAGAGCAAGAGACAATACAAAGGCCTTGCCAACCCGCCCCAGGTGTGGGCAGTTGGTCAGTGAGGAATGAAGTGAGCAGAAAGGGGACAGCAACAAGGAGAGCAAGAGACAGTACAAAGGCCTTGCCAACCCACCCCGGGTGTGGGCAGTTGGTGGCAAACAAGCAGTGGCCTGGGACCAGCAGGTCAATGTGGGTCCCAGCACAATAAGAACCACCTACAGTCAAGGAGAGGATGACCATCCCAAGGCAGTCTACGGACAGAGCTGTCCATGTGGCCACCTTTTCCAGAAGAAGACTCATATCCTTTAAGGAACTTAGAATAAGCAACAGGAATGGGCCAAACCTAAATAACCCTGTGCAGTTCTGTGGAAGAACTTGACTGGCATTCATCCCATGCCCTTTTGATACTGCAGTTCTGGTACTATATGTCCACTGGAGCTGAGGGTGGGGGTAGGGATAGAAGCAGGGAGGAGTGACCCATGACTGTGCTTGTTCAATCTCCTCCAGCCTAGAGTCACTTATGGGACACCATGATGGAGATTAAGTTCAGAGGCAGTCTGAACTGAACTACATGTTAGTTTTGCCAACAAAGGTCCATACAGTCAAAGTTATGGTTTTTCCAGTGGTCACATATGGATGTGAGAGTTGGACCATAAAGAAGGCTGAGGACCGAAGAATTGATGCTTTCAAATTATGGTGCTGGAGAAGACTCTTGAGAGTCCCTTGGACTATAAGGAGATCAAACCAGTCAATCCTAAAGGAAATCAACCCTGATGATTCATTGGAAGGACTGATGCTAAAGCTCCAATACTTTGGCCACCTCATGCAAAGAGCCAACTCACTGGAAAAGACCCTGATGCTGGGAAAGATTGAGGGCAGGAGGAGAAGGGGTCGACAGAGGATGAGAAGGTTGGATGGCATCATCGACTCAGTGGGCATGAGTTTGAGCAAACTCCAAGAGACAGTGAAGGACAGGGAAGCCTGGAATGCTGCAGTCCATGGGATCACAAAAAGTCAGACATGGCTGAGCGACTGAACAACAACAACAGAGGTAGATAAGGCTTTGACCAATGTACATTAGTTGAGAAAAAAATGTCATGGACTCTACTGTTTCCCCCTCTGGTTTTTAGGAAAGGAGATAAATGCCATAAGAACCGCCACCCCTGCACTGAGCATGATGACCACACTTAGCTCCAGGGGCTCCTTTAGCACCCGACTGACTGTCCCAGTTCTGCCACAGCTTTGAAGTAGGGTTAAAGATGCACTGCAGCTGTATCACATTTTAAAGATTTTAAGTATCCTTTGTTGGTAAGTTAGTTTTTATGCATAAATAGGACCATTTTACAGTCAAATTAAACTAGGTCTTAGAAGTAGGTATATCCTCAGATAAAAACATTGGAAGAATCAGCAAGGGTACACCCACTAGGATACCCATTCAACATTTCTAGAAAATATGTCTGTGAGTACTTTTCTGAAATAATGATAAAAGAGGATTATAATATAATTACATTTTAGAGGAACTCTATAGATCAGAAAAATCAGGAAACTGAATGAAATATATCAAGAAAGATACTGCTTTACCAATTAAAAAATGTTTATGACTAATCTCAAGTCAACACATCACAATGTGTACATTCAAAGGGGAATGTTGTTTTGATGTAAGATGTGAGATACAGATGTGAGAGTTGGACTATAAGTAAAGCTGAGCACAGAAGAATTGATGCTTTTGAACAGTGGTGTTGGAAAAGACACTTGAGAGTCCCTTGGCCTGCAAGGAGATCCAACCAGTCCATCCTAGAGGAAATCAGTCCTAAATATTCATTGGAAGGACTGATGCTAAAGCTCCAATACAGTCTGTCTCAAAGTGAGGTCTGGTCAAGGGGTGCTAAATGACAAAAGGGAGATTATCATGGCTTCCAGTATCTGCACCTCACACATTTTAGACGCTCCAAAGAAATCTCTCTATTCATTTGACAAATAGTTACTGATTGTTTACTAAGAGTGATTAATAGATAGCATGGTTTTAGAATTATCACAACCAAGACGTGGTGGTTCTGCAACAGTTTCCTTGGCCCGACTCCATATGGCCCTCCTGTTCCAACTGTGGTCTGAGCCCAGCAACCTCCTGGGACAGGGACTGTCTCTCTAATCAATTCTGTATTATTGTTACAGACAGCCCACACAGCTAATGTCCCTTTCAATGTCTGTATTATAAAAACCTACAAAAGACAAGCAAAGGTTTCTCTCCAACATGTGATTCTTTGTGAGTTCCCTTCCACTCTTGACATATTTGGGCTTCCCAGGTGGCGCAAGTGGTAGAGAACCCGCCTGCCAATGCAGAAGATGTAAGATACACGGGTTCAATCCCCAGGTTGGGAAGATTCCCTGGAAGAGGGTGTGGCAACCCACTCCAGTATTCTTGCCTGGAGAATCCCATGGACGAGGAGCCTGGTGGGCTACAGTCCATAGGGTCACAGAGAGTTGGACACGGCTGAAGTGACTTAGCACGCACACAGCCTCATGCTGGGCTGGCAAGATTTCTCTGCCCAATCCTATTTCCTCCTACTTCCCTTCACAGCTGGCAATCCCGAATAGACATTTGCCCCCAAGATTCCATCTCAGCATCTGCTTCTAGAGAAGTCAGCTTGCAACAAGCTTTACCTCAGGGGCTGGCAATAGCAAAAACACATTTGAGACCTGTTGGGCAAACAGCACAGGGTACCCAGAACTACAGAGTGTTCTGTGAGCATCCATCACCGAACCATCTCAGGAGGCTGGGAGCAGAGGCCTGCCTGGTCTTAACTGAACCATCAGCAGACCGCTGTGCACACCAACAGCCTGCCAGGCCCCGCGGGTACCGGACAGACATGGGCTCTCCCCTTCTGGCTGTCACCTCCTGCTTGCTTGCTTTGCGCCAGGTAGATAATACTGTATGTAACTCAGCCATTTTACAGACGAAGGGGCTGAGCGCTTCTGAGATCAGGAACCCACCCAGCATCGCACTGTAGCAACCGACGAGGCCAGGACACGACCCCGGGCATGTCTGGCACTCAAGCCTTGGCTTCTGCCCACCAGGCCGTCCCACCCTGCGTGCGTGACACGGTGAGACAAACCAGCCACCGCTTTGTAGGCTTGACCAACAATGTGCTGAGTACCGGGGGCTGCAAAGACGCATGGGCATAGACTGGGCTGGCACTGCTTTAGATACCATTGTGCACAAACTCTCAACAATGACATGTGACAGCTGAGGCCCTGCTGAGCCCTCTGCCAAAACTGGGCCACGGGATGAGAGCATCATTCTCAAAGCCTTGAGAAGGTTCCCCTCTTCTCCCTCTCACAGGCTCCTCCCCAAACATGTGCAGTTGTGGAGCCTCAGATTCTTCGTGTGGGAGCCACAGATTCTGCTGCAGGTCTGAGGATGT